CCCCAAAACCCCAAAACCCCAAAACCCCTTGAGACTAAAAATTTGAAGTATCCCAGGAATTTTCAAATAAGTAAATTTAATTTATTGGATTGCTGTTTAATTTCACAATATAAATAAATCTCAATGAAAACAGGGATAGCAAATTAAAAAAAGCGTGTGATGAGACTCATCGGATATTTTATCGCAATTTTTTCACTTATGCTGGTGATTAATTGCCAACAGTAAAAGTGCTTTGACTGGAAATTCCCAAGAGGCTTTGGAGATTCAACTGGAGATTCTTATTATACTACAATCGATGTAGATAGCAATCTAAATATCATTACAGGTGGTGAAACTAGAACAACCACTCATGGATTATCAATTACTTCAGGATACTACTCTTACATTCAATACGTTAGCGATAATGGACAATAAGATTGGATTAGAATTTACAATCAAGCTAATTATACAAGGCTATAAAATGTTGTATTTTAAAATGGTGTTATGTAGGCATCTAGAGCAGCTGCTTTAATAAGTAATCCAGAAACTTAAGTATTACATATTATTTTGATTTCTACTACTGATGGTTCTCTTGTCAATGCCTTCTACGAAGATACTTTATCAGGTAGTTCTAAATGGATAAGTACATACTTAAACTCCGTGGTGCTTGATTCATCAAATAATATTTACTTAGGAATAGGATAAAGCACAGCATATATTGCAATGATCGCTAAATTTGATTTAACCTAAACAAATTCACCAAACTTAGCAAATTGGAAATTCGACCACACAGGGACTTTAAGTAAGTCTACAATTGGACTTGTTTCTGCAATGTTTTTAGATTCTATCAATAATTAAATATATGTTTCAAATAGATACACATTTACACTGACTAATCCAACTAGATATTTCTTTTATCCTACAATTCAAAAGATGTCTGCGCTAAATGGTACACTTCAATACTCATTCTCCATTAACATTACTAGAAATGTGAAATTATCATAAGGAAGTTAAAGATCTATTAAAGTATTGAGTTCTGGAAATTAGGATAATATTTTTGGTTGCTAAAGTATTTACTTCTCAGGTACACCAACTGAAACTAAATTTATTTTTTATCGTTTAGTTGTAAGCTCCGACAATACTATTGCATCTCAAGTATTTTTTTAAATCCTTGAATATTTGTCCTGCTAAGACATTAAAATAAAATCAACCTCAGAATTCTACGTATTTGTGACTGATTAAAGGAAAATTTAAAGCTCCTTGTTCAAAATATATGATATTACATTAGAAGGTGCTTCAATGACAAGACAAGAATTTAAATAACTGGAAAACACTAACATCTATGACGGAGTCATATTACCAGATTACACAGTTTATTACATAGGTCTTAATCTCTACAGTAAGATTTCTCCAAGATTATAAACTTTTATTGTAAATTCTGACATATCTCAATCTTGCTCAGCAAATAATATGCAACCAATATTTACATAGAGTACTCTCATTGCTAATTATGATTTCACCTATAAAAGTTAAGTCGTAATTTTAAACTCAACAGCTGAATTTATTCTTAAAAGATCAACAACTTTTTCACTTCTATCGCAAGATATTTCACTCTATAATACTAACTATACGAAATTTTGTGACCCTATACCAAATCTTTGGGCAATAGATAACTCAACAGAAAAATCCTAATATTATGCAATGGCATTACCAGGAAATTATGAATAGAAAATTGCATAATTGTTTGTTGGTGATGAAAAATGTAATGATAAATCAAGAGTCTACAAATTTATTTCTACAAGTGATGGAAATTTACCATTTACTTTTGATAACATTGACACTATTACTCTCCCCAAAAATAAGTTCTAAGAAGTATAAAGCAATTATACATTATAATGTACTTATCCTAATGGACAAACAAAAAGCCTATTTTATAAGATTAATTTAATTGATTGCTTTACGGACTATCTGACTAATCCTTTTCTGGTTAATACAACATATACTATAGGATCAAATTTAACTTCTGTAAGTCTAAATTCTTATGTGACAAAAGCATTTTGTAACCCTCCTCATACGATTATTAAAGATATTTCCCCTAACACTACTGCAATATCGTTCGCCTAACAAACATCTTTTTTTGGGAGTGATGGCTCTATCTAATTGATTTAAGGAGATTTAAAGATTTATTCGCAAGATCCAAAGGATCAAGGAGTTTACAAAGTGACCATAGCTTACTTAAACTATTATGAATCTTCAAAGAACACTTCATTCTCATTTTTTGTTACTATATTTTGTCCAGTAACTCTCTCTGCTACATATACTGGCTTAACTTCGTTTATGTACTATATTGGCTTAGGCAAATAGTCCTTTGACTTAAGTTCTGCTATTTACTCGAATAACTGTTTTTACTCTATATCTGTTCAAGCATTTATTAAAGTGGGTTCTTAATAACAAGCTCTACCCTCATTCATCACATTTAATCCTTAGAACTTTACATTCAGTGTGAATTCAACAGACAGCAATAATGAAGGAGTGTATTTTCTTGTTATGAAGGCAACTTTAAATGATACTTAATGAACTTTCAATGATGAAGTAAGATCCACTCTTGAGATTAAAACATTAGCAGCAACCACCACTACAACTACCATTTCAACAATTGCAACCCCTAAACCTGATTAATCCTCAACATATACTACAAATACTCCTGAAATTTAAAAATAGACTAATTCAATTACAATTATTACTCCTTAACCATAAACATCTACTTTGATGAATTAGTCTCCAAAATTCCTGGTAAAGCCTTAAAATATACTTGCTATTGCTGGATAGAAATTAATATATAGCTTACCTAAAGTTCATTATAATGAAAGAAACAATGTAATAATCACTTTGAGGTTTGATAATCAAAAGAAATTCATAGAGATTAATGGCAAATAACTTTATATAAGTCCTTCTTCTCTAGATATTGGAGATCATTTTCTATCTCTATCTTTATAAGATAACGGAATATCAACAGCTTAGAATGTGTACAAGATTATATTGACAGTAATAGCTTCATAAAATAGCACTTTTTCAAATTCTTATGACAATTAGACAAAAGCATTGAATTACACTCCATCCTAAGAAATCTAGCTTCTATCAAGTTAATTTAGATCTTCTTTAATTAGCATTAATCAGAAAGGTGAGGTAGCTATTTAGATCAATAGCCAGATAAATTTTAATCTTAGCATCAATACATTTAACGAAATAGAAATTTAAACTATACTTAGCTAATAAGACTCCTAATATCAGAGAATATTAAATTGGACATTAGTCAAAGCAAGATTTGGTCAAATTACAATTTAGATTAACTTTGATAATCCATACAATATATCAACTTGAAAGGTAAACTCAATAGCCTGATTCATTTTAGAGCACAGATTACATTGAGGTGAACTTTTATTACAAAGATTAAAATAATCAACTAATTGATATGTCTTTATATGGAGGAATCTCTAAACTTGTACACCGGCTTCCTTAGCAATTAGATTAAGGTAAGAGATCTTTCCTGAATTAAGTATCAGCCTTAAATCATTTTATTCATTTTAATAGATGATGCATTGGCTATTGAGAAGATAGGAGAAAATATTTCTAAAATAGTTACTTTTTTTATTTTTACTTGCTTAGTCTCATCATAAGTTATGTAAGAAATTTGATAATGAATATTTATGTTAGGTTTTCAGCTTCTGGAATCATATGGTCATTAGTAAATAATATTCAGCAAGTTTCAAATCTTGCTCTATTTGATGTTGATATGCCCTTAAATGGTCTATATTTCAATTAAGATATTTCAGATTTTACCTCTATTAATATATTACCTAGCATTACTAGCGATTGGGACAATGCAGCAGCTGTAAGTAGAATTCTTGAATTGTAAAATTTGGATAATGATTCATTATTGATATAATTTAAAGCAATGGGATATGAAAGTACTGTTTTCATCATTCAATTAAGAAGTATTTTTTTAATATTGGCGTTTGGTATAACATTAATTGCTATTGACAAATTAATTATCTTTATTCTTGGTCTTATCTACAAGGCGAGAGGATAAATTCCAGAGCTTCTTTAGGAAAACTTATTATTTTGGATTTATATTAAGTTAACTAAAGGACTTTACTATAGCTGGTTCAGTAGAATTTTTATTGAAGGATTTATGATTTCGTCAATTATGACCTTCCTGATATTACGACCCTAAGTTGATCCCTAAACTTCTTCTGATAAATTCAATATAGCAATTTCATCGTTTGCTCTTGCAATATTAATATTGACGCCTTGTTTTCTAGGATACATTGTCATTGGCTAGTTATTAATAGAAACATGGTAAAATTTGATAAATAGATTTTTTATAATCAGAAAAGTGGATAAGTTAATTAAAAAGATTTTTTAGGTACATTTAAATAGAATACAACTCAATGTATATTACTTTTTGTTTTTTACAAGAAGATTAATTTTTGGATTTTCTATCTCACATTTTGCTTTTGCTTCATAGATTTTTCTTCAAATTACTTCATCAATAGTCATTATTAGCTTCTTGATCTCATAGAAGCCACATGATTATAGAAATTAAGACTATATTGAATTATTTAATGAAATTACATATATATTCTCGCAATACTTATGCTTTATTTTCACACCATTTGTTTAAGAAACTAATATTAAAGTTTTTAGTGCTTGGGTATTTTTTGGAATAGTTATTTTTATCATAACTATCAATCTTCTAGTTTATGTACTACTCATTGTTTATGAGATTCTAAAAATTATTAAAATGAGAAGAAAAATATCGTAAACTCATGATAAGCTTGAAATTACTGAAAGCAATCTGACTATGTCTAAGGATGTAATCAGACCTGAAATGACAACTTTTATTCAGTAATTTATTGAACAAAATAGAGAAGAAAGAGAATAGGAACTTTAATAAAAGGAAAAGATTAAAGAAAAACTTGAGATATTAACTTAAGATGATATCGAATAAGATATATTAGAGGGAAATAATCCAACTGATATGAGAATAACTGATAAAAACATTAACTAATAGATTAATACAAAAAAGAATGTTTTAAAGCCTAATACTAATCTTATTTTCCAAGCTAGAGAGGAAATTAAAGAACAAATTTCAGATTAAAATGAACTAGAACTGAACTTTTAAGAATGCTATTAGCATAAATTAGATGAAGCTCTAGAAGATTATCACTCATATTAAAAGATGGTATCTAAATTTTAACTCAAACAGCCAGAATTGGGCGACACTCGCTAATAATTCTATTAATAACATTAATAAAAAATTTAAAACTTTATGTCTACAAATAGTAATAACAAAGAATCCTAAAGAAATACTAAGTAGAGTGACTTAGTGATAAAATTAAACTTTGGAAATGATTTTGGTATATTCAATGATAAGTAGCAAGAAATCATAATGAATTAAGATTTATCAAACAAAAATAAAGTTAGGATAATCCCGAATAATTTCTAAGATTAATAGTGAATCTAAAAATATATTTGAAATTTATTATAACTATCGATCAAAATAGTTTTTGATTATATCACGGGGTTTTGGGGTTTTGGGG